TGCAGCAGCAAAACATTGAACTCCATGTCATAAGTAATTCTTGAATAAGCTGCTAAAGATAGACATCAATATTATTTTCAGGATTTTTTCTCCAAGAATAATTGTTGATAAGATGAATGAGTTATGTTCATATGAGTCCAAGGTGACATGTGGTAAGCAACCAAAATCACAGGTCAAATGCTATACATAGTATTCATAAACTTGAATGGATTGAAACCATTAGCAGCCAATCCAAGACGAACATTATGATGGTCAGAAACAAATTCAGGATACTGTAAGTCAAATGTTTTCCGAGCTTCTCCATCTGTCGGATGTTATAACTTACCATCTTCATTTTTATATTTAGCAAGCTAAATCATGTCTACTGCAGATTTCTTTGATTTGAATAACCTTCGTAATCCAAGGATTAATAGAAAATATTAAATAATTTTTTATGCCTTCATACATGTTTTCTTTCCTTCAGCGCTATTTTTTTTCCTCAGTATTGTTCCATCTTGATGGGCCACAAGCATTACATACCTTCTGATCAGACTCATCTTTCCAAAATAGCATGCAATCATTAGGACATGCATATATCTTATTATAATCAAGATTGAATGCTTTCATTATTCTTTTCACTTCATATGTGTTCTTAGGCAATGAAGTCTTGTCGGGGAAGGCTTCTAATAATAGCTCCAATAACATACCGAAAGATATTGCAGTCCATGAGTGTAAACATTTCAAACAAAATAAGTGCAATACAAAATATAATTTTGTGAAAGGCTTGCACCCTTGATATACTTCTACTTCCACATCTTCTAACAACTTCAAACTTGGATCATCACTTGTTGGAAAAGAATTAGATGTTTCACAATCGATAGTTCGATTATTTGAATTAGTTTCTATGGTAAAAGTGTCTCTTATTAATCCTTCTATATCATTCATGTTGGTTCTTCTGCTTGAATTTGCGATTGTTGAATATCAAACATGATGTTTATTATTTCAAATTCTGCATCTTGACTAATAGTGTTATGCTCTTCCCCACATCGGTTGCACACGAAATAACCGGAAAAAAATTCCTCTAGAGATTAATGATCCTTGATATCTTTCATAGTATATAAAAAATCTATTAATACAAACTTTGCAAGGACATAAAACTTTAGTTGTTGAATTTTGCTCTTAGTTGCAAACTCCATAAAATTTTCTACACATCTTTTATACTCAAGAGTCCATCTAAGTCTTTGCATCCAGCGTTTATCCATTTTAAGATAAAAAAGCGTTAAACTCACTGCACATACATAAGATATTAAGACAATTAGGTGAATCAATTAATATATTGAAATAGAAGTGGAAGAGATAAAAGCAATCTAATGCGGATAAATTTAGTTTGACATATTTAGTAGGATTTAGCAGAATTGAGTAAAAGAAGAAGTTTTCATATTATTTAAAGTTTGTCAGCTTATCCAAAATAAACATATACACATCAAAATTAAATATAAAAACTGTCATTAATTTATTAATTTAAATAAGATTTAAAATAGTGCCTCAGAGTTGCATAACTGAAGTTGTTTTCAAATTAATCTAGATAAATCATACAATATGAAAAAAAATGCATCACAACTGACTGAGCCTCCATCATTAATAAAATAAGATAGAGCATAATAAGATTATTTTATTAGGAAACACCTAAACATGATAATCATTTAATTTCATTTGCTAACAAGAACTTTTCCCAGGTTAATTACTATAGTCATGGAAGTTGATCACATTCTTGACATAAATTTATAAATGACAGAAAACAACTCTCTTATAAGGAATATACCAAAATAGATGCATATGCGACGAAAATATATCAGCATGAACTTTGTCTTGGATTTTTCAAAAATTACATGAGGAAATATTCCAATTATAAGGCGTAGCAAGTTCTCCAAAATGTTATACATTTTATGTTCCAGAATAATCAATGTTTCTCCTTAAGCTTATTTATGTATTACAAAAATCACTAATCATTTTGGCTTGTCCAATCAATCATGTCAAATCTTGATGCAAAATTTGATAGCCACTTTTTGGAGGACAGAACAAGAACTTTGGGTTACAACTACAGATTTTCATCTATTTTCAATCTCCAAAGCAACGTTCAAATGTAACTTGATGATCAGAGTTTGTGAGCTCTTTTTATAACTAGGCTGAGGCAACAATTAATGATTCTTCGCATAGTCACTTAGGACTCTAATATGCTAGATATCTATTTATCTTTAAAGAAGAAAAAGGACAATTATTATCTTCTAGTATTTTATTATGTATTGGAATGTGGCTGAACAAGAAATCCATTACTAATCTCCACAGCAATTTTATGTCTTTTAATTAATTTGGCTTCACCAATTATTAACTTATTTATCAAAGGTAATTGGTTCTTTATTCCTCCTAAACTCCTCTATACATATAGGAGAGCCAATGCCATTATTTATTTTGAATTAAAGCTAAATAAAATTTCTTTTGTCCTTCTTGCTATGATTTTTAGCCAACTCTCCCTTACTTTTTTACAGACACATCACAACATTGCGCACTTGGCTAAATCACAAGAAAACTTGAAAATCACAAAAAGTAGCATGCATTTCACCCATCAACTTAATCTTCATATATCAGAAATACTGATTAATAAATGCAGACAAAATAGCTAAAATTTTATCGAAAATAAGAAAAGCTACTTACAATGAATTATTGTTTATACCGAGCAAGCAGAGATGCCAGAAAAATTACGAAAGGGTCAAGCATATAAATGGAGTAACTATAGAAACTACCATCTGAAGAGACAAAATCATGCATGGGTCATATAAGGATCAAGGTAGCACAGAAAAGGAATCACATCAATGAGTCGTCAATGAGTCATTTGTTACCTCAATGGCTGTACTAGGAGCTACTCGGATAACATTAACAAGGTTACCACGAAACAAACCCTTCCACGCATCGTCAATAATTAATTAGTATTAAACCTTGTGTTAACTAACTAAGACTTACTACTCATCTGATTTGTTTGTTTTCCTCATATTGTGTAGCTACACTTTGTGTTTGTTATCACTACTATAAAAAAGTTGTAATGACTGCTTTGTTACAATAATCAGGTTAGGGGAATCAATAGAATTGGCAGAGAGTTTAGTTATTTTTCTCTGATAGACATGATAATATTGCTAATGCTTTATCTGTTGTATTTTCAGAGTCGCATTATGATTGCTGCACTCATTATATTACAATGGGTATCGAGTTGAAGTTTAAAACCAGTAGTTTTCATGAGAAATATCAGTTGGCTTCCAAAGCTTCTGGAAAGGTTGAGTTTTATTTGTACTTACACAAATCACAGATGAAGAATCTAGCCATAAACGCCTACTTATAGTATGAAGATGTATTTGAGCGATGGGTTCATATTTTTTTGGGAATTGATACAATTTGATGACTGTAAGAATTTTAGAAAACTTAAACAATGTTACCAAGAGTACACATTTCTATCTAATGACCACTTCGTTAGAATCTTTAAGGCAGATTTTAACAATGGCAAATCCAGTCCAATCTCCAAATACGACAAAACTAAAAAGTCGCAAGAGAAATAGAGGCGCGAACAGGCTTACCATCCTCGATGGTTTCGGGTAGGAGCGGAAGAAGGAGAATGTTGTATCACTAAGGAGATATCGTCGTTGCCTTCCCCCAATTAACAACGCTTATCCTGTCACTGCCTTCCCATACGATGGTATCGCAACGAGTTCGGTCACCAGAGCAATGGTTTTGGGCAAAATCGAACTAGGGCTGGGGAGGAGAGATGGGAAATGCGACAGGTGAGAGAGTTCGGTCACCAAAGCGTCGGTTTTGGGCGAGATGGGAAGAGGGTTGGGCAGGGGAAAATGAGGAATGCTGGAGGATTCGGTCATCGGAGCGATGGTTTTGGGCGAGATGGGAAGTAGGGCCCGATCGGTTATTTCTGGCAGAAGATAACAAAAGGCCTGCGGTTTCTTTTTTATGTTTTGGCGGCACTTAAAATTTACCTAAACCTGCTTTATATCTCTAATTTCTCTATAATCTATCTTTAACTTATGTAATCTATTTATAACCTACAAATATATGAAAATAGAAGTGTGAAACTTACTAAAATATACATATTGGTTATTAGAAGGTTACATGGGTATAACGCGGATGTAACCCCAATACCCTCTGAATAAACTTTATACAATATTGGTCCTCATTAAACCCCTGATCCAAAACTATGTCAAAATTCTTGATATAATAATTTTTTTTTCCTTTAAAAGAATGTTGTTGAAGTTTTTAATAGTCCAAATTTGTCGTGTGAGTCATGCTCGAATATCAGGAGTGGTAGGTACTTTAAGCGAGAGAATTAAAGAGACATAAAAAGAGATAAAAATAACATGCATAGACTTGCATCGTAGGGGCGAACTGGAGTATCTCCGGTCTCTTCGACTAATTTTATTTATAAAAAAAGTCTTACATTGAAAAGCGACGAGAGAGTTCTCCATACATGAAAAATCAAGAGATAAGAGCTCATTTCTTAAATGTCATAGACTCTCTATTTATAGAAGAAAAATGAACAAACTTTAAAATCACATGCTTGCCCATACTTTAATGTTGAATTACATGTTATTATTATCTTTTTAACAACTTTCTACTTCAATAAGAAAGTTACAAATTTTTATGCTTCATTTTTATAGTTAATATTTTATTGGGATTTAAAAAGTCATTATAATATTTTCTTATAGTCCCTGCTTTAATAGAGGATTATATTTTATGCAATTGATTTTTAAGACATTTTTATCCTCTAATTTTTTCATGTGAACTATTAAATTATATCGAAATTTGTGCAAATCATTTTTTTTTTTTTTGTGACAATAAAACTTATTTGTTCCCCATAAAAGTTTTAAAACAAAATACTAAATAATAATTAATTATTTTTTTGTCTTATTACTTGTGTTGAACAAAACACAAGATTTTTCCGGGAACCAAAAAATAAATAAATCATCAGGGTTGAAAAAAAACAAAAATTCGAGAATGGAGAGGGGGAAGGAGACATGTGCGTCATGGATCCGCCGGCCGGAGAACCGTGTGCTGGTCATCGTAGGTCAGCCTAGGAGCGGCGCCTCACCGCCGTCCCTTGAGGTCTTCTCATTCGAATCCAAGACCGCCTCGCTATCGAGCAATCCCCTTGTTAGTCTTCTTAGTTTTCTGTTTCTCCTAATTCTACTTTCGTTGTATCTTCTGAGATTACCATGCGTCTTCCTTTATTGTATCAGGTAACGTTTGCGATGGGAGAAGAGGATGGGGAACCACTGGGCTTTGCAGTACATCCCAGTGGAGAGGAGATTGTTTGCTCTACAGCCAATGGCTGCAAGTAAGTGTAGTTTTATTCTGTCTTACGAGGAATAGTTGGTCCTTTCTTCCTGTTTTTTACACCTGCGGTCGTTTTACTGAGGGTCGATTTAGATTGGAAATTAATGGCTGTGGATGAATTATTTCCCTACTGCGAATGCTGTGTGATAGGAATGTGCACTGAATAACAGTAATTTGAAGTTTGGGATTGGTTCGCAGTTAGTGAGCAATTGTTTGTTGGAGGTGCTTTCTTGTATTGCATGAATATTCTCAATTTTAGTGGAACTTAGAATGAATAGAAGTACGTCTATCCTCCATTATTCCCTATTTTCTCTCTTGTTTTTGGAGTTGAGGTGCCTATTTAACCTTCTCTCTCTCTCTTCTTTATTCTCTCATTCCTTCTGTAGATTTTTCTTCAAATTCTCTTCCCCACTTCAACATCTTTTAGATCTCCAATCTTATCACCCCAGCATCAATCACCAATGATCCATTACCTCTAATCTTCAACCTTCGTTCACCTTAGCAACAATCATTGATGGCCCCCAATTTTGCCGCCTTCTAGATTCTTTTTTTTACATGACCAAGATCTTGTTGATGGACTCCATAACTAATGACTCAGTGATCACAACAGGTTGTTAAAACCTCAATCAATGCCACCTCATCTCAATTCCAATCACCAAAGATTGCCTATAGCGTATTGTCATCAAAACCTTTTTCTTCTTCTGCTTCCAGTTAGAACCATCAAACTGATCTGCATCGACCACCCTAGTCTTTTGTTGGAAAATCACCTGGCCAACTGTGAGAGCAGCACAACCTGCCATAGATTCAGTCACAGAATTGAGTTCTCCTCATATAATTGTTACTCAACCCACCCTACCTTAGCATGAGAAGTAGGAACAGAAGATTTCAAATGTAAGGGCTCAAGAGTTGTATTGTCGGAACCCACCTCTATATGCAGCTCTCGCTTAGGATGTGCCAAAAGAAGACTGATACTTATTCTACCAGAATGTTTTGTGGAATGACAACACCGACATGATCGACCCACCGGGGGATTTGACGTCGTGCCATGAGAACCAAAAGCTTCGACGAATGATATTGAAGCTCCCCAACTCGGGAGACTGGCACGGGAGCAGATACGGGAGCGCGGGAGCGGGGTCTCCCGCAACTGGAACTTTTGCTAGTGAACCGGCCGGCCCAATTGAGGCCGGTCTAGGGTAAACCCAAATCAAGCTGCCTCGGGATGGGATTTTGACAAGGCGGGACTGCCGCCCGCCCCTCCACTCCTTCCTTTTTTTGCTTTTTCTTCATTTGGAAGTATTTTAATGTCTAATTTCTGAATATTTCTTGCCTCTCCACCCCTTTCTTTTGTGCGGTAGTTTCATTCTTTATCTCTTTCATTTCTTCTTCATGTAAGTCTATTTATTTGTTCTTTTAAGAGTTTAGATAGAGTTTTTGTTGTATTTGCTTTCAGATTTCTTGTGTGGACTCCTTCTCCCTTTTATAGGGTTGTATTAGAGAAGGTGGTGGTGCTCCGACTATATCCTACTCTGAGGTAGCGATTTTATCTTGCCTTTTTTCTTCCCTAAACCTTCCCTTCCCCCTTAGTCGTCGGCCACTCCGATCCTTCCCCAACCACCTCCAACCCATTTTTCAGTCGAACAACCTGCTATCCAGCCTCCCCAAGCTTGCTGTCCAGCCCTGCAACCCGATGTTTTGCAGCCAAACCTTCTGCACAACACTCTAGCCTTGCTGTTACCGCCACGGGACAACAAACCTCTGATGTTCCTGCCATATCTGCCCCAATTTTCTATTGTCGTTGCACAGGACAGCCAGCCCCCTAGCTGTTCCTGCAATTTCTCACCGTACCTTTGCTGCCGCCACCCCCGCTAGCCATCCCGATCCTTCTAGCCAGCCTTGACCACCCTATGAATACACTTGAGAGGTGTTTTCTTGTGTCGTTTATGTTTGTATTGTTATTTATTATTGTGTTGTGTTGTAACCCTCTCCTTACATTAATAAAAATGGCCATTATGTTTCCCTCTGTTTACCCATTTAGTTTCAGTATCAGTGCATTTTTCAAGAGCTGTACCATGGGAACTGAAATTTACAAATTGAAAATTGTTGAATTCAAGATTTCTTAGGTAGAACTGCCATGATTGGATTTTTTTCATATCATGAAAGCCTTTTCTTATTGTTATTAGTTCAGGTTTTGTGTTGTTATATTTTGTTTCTAAAGCATATATTCATATTCATGCGTTTCTAAAGGTATTGTGGATGCATGTCTGAAGTGTCGCGGAGCAAGCTATTCTTGGTGAAAGATGTAAACAAAATTAAGAATTATGTCAATAACGAGCCAAATCGCTCAACCAAAGATATGGGATGCATGATCAGATACTATAAGATAAAGGGATACTTCGTCCTGAAATTATGTACGATGCAATCTCTGTGGATACAATGGATTAAAAATATATAGTTATATATGCATATGCATAGTGCATGCACGTTCATGCTATTGTGTAGCTTCATATGAGCCCATTCTCTTTATGCTGGTTTGAATATACAATATTTACCGATCCAATTTTACAGAGCCATACTGATATCACGTAGGATAAGCCTTTACTAGATTGAGCTATGTAACTATGTTAACGTGTTGTCAATCCTCTATTGCACATTTGGTTTAGAGGACAAATGTTTGCCAAGTCATAATTTTGATTGATAGTAAATCAAGCTTTTCTACCTAACTTTTAAGTGCATTTTGGTCTGTACTTGTTCACATCAGAAATTTTTCTATTTTCAGTAGTAAATTCTTAAAGATTGATGTGAGACTGTGGCTTGCGTACTTTGTGGGCTGATGCAGATGATCACTATAGTTTCTTAATTTTTTTTTAGTGACTCTTCATGTTTTCATCCTAAACCAAAAAAGAGAAGAATTGCTTGATTGAAGATTTAAATGCATATCTATTTTGGTTTACTTTTTTTTCCTTTTTTTTCCTTTTTTTTTTTTTGCTTGCTGTTGACCTCATTTTTAGTGAGGTCTTAGTCTCCTACTCTTAGAACCTATAATCTAGCCTTATGAGTTCCTGGTTGACCATCCTAGCGGACTAGTAATGGAGCCCACCTCCCGTAGAACTTCAAGCCACTTCTTGACTCATTTCTGTGAAGAACTCGCATGAGTGGTTCCAAGCACTCAACTTTTAGTTGCAAGGGCTAAGGACCAACATGTAGAGGGCCCGAAAATGAGTTCCCATAGGATCAGATGACGATAGGTGAACCCTTTGTGACTCGATTACTTGCGAACGACGCACTTCACACACTCACTGCATCACACACGATTTTGACTTAAATCGACTCGCCCGTCGGCGAACTCGTCCGGATG